CAGCACAATGATAGATGGAGAAGAGATTGAAGTTGTTAACAATTTCAGCTTGCTCAGGTCCACAGTCAACACTGTTAGCACTAGCAGTCATGAAATAAAAATAAGAATTGCATTAGGAAAATCTGCTGTTAGGGACCTCTCTAGAATGCTGAAATGCAAAGATGTCAGTTGAGATATTAAGATGTGCCTGATCCAGACTATGGTTTTTACAATTACTTGCTATGTATCAGAAAACTGAACAATGACCAAAGATGGGACAAGAAGAATTCATGGCTTTGAATTGTGGTGCTGGAAAAGAGTATTGAGCATACCAAGCATTGCCAAGGGAACAAACAGGTCTGTCCTGGAGAGGGTGAAACTAAGGTTTCCCTTGGAGGCAAAGATTTTGAGGCTCTGTCAGACATACTTTAAGCGTGTTTCCAAGATAGACCAGTCATTAGAGAGGGATATTATGCTTGGAAGGATAGAGGGGTAGTGAAAGAGAGGAAGCCCCTGGATGAGATGGATTGACACAGTAATGGGGTAATATGTCAGAAACAATCAGATTGGCTTAGGGTAGAGCAGGATTTAGAGCTGTTAGGAATAGTGTTGGTAGGATTTGTGGTTGATATGTTGGCACAAAACAACATATGTATAGGACTATACTATTATATGTATTATAAATTGGCATAATTGACATTTCTTAAACATCTGCTATGTGTGTCTTAACCATTTTTCAAGATAGGTATTGTTACTATCTGTGTTATATTGATGAAGAAATTGAGAGTCAGAGAGGTCAAGTTATTTGTCTAAGGTCACACTACTGATAACTCATGATCTAAATCCAGGATCAGTATTCTTAATCACTAGGAACAGCTGAGGCAGCTCTTGTGGTCTGGTGAGTAAAGAGCTGCACTTCCTTATCAAGGGCAGACTGTTCTAATCCACCAGCAGATTTGAGAGAGAAACATGGGGAATCTCCTCTCCTGAGATTTACAGCCTCTGAAATCCTGATGGAGGGCCAGCTAGAAGTTGGTTCCAACCCTGTTTGCTGTGAGTTTGGGTTTTTTAGTAACAGCTGTTTCTTACATTCCTCTCTGGCATATGAAGATTTTTGTTTTTGGTGGTGGTGATTTTTTTTTTTGTTGTTGTTTTTATTTTCTGTTTTGTTTTAACATAGTCAAAGTTTAGGGAGCAAATTCACTTACCCACACTCTGCTGTTGAGTGGGCACTGACTCCCAGCTGAACTGCCATGGATTTCAGAGGTTATAAATGTCAGGAGAGGAGATTGCCCATCTTTCTTCCATGGAGCTGCTGATGGGTTAAAAGGGCCAGATAGACAGGATTTTTGTATTAGCAGTGACACTTCCTATAACTAAACCATTAGAGATCACTACAGATCAAATTAGTTTCTCCCATTTAAAACTTGGGGCTATTTGTACATAGTGTCCCACATGAGAAATCTTGCATTATGTGTTTAAATATACAGTTTTAGAGTTGGGTGGATTTTATAATAGATGTTTTAATGAGAGAACTTAAAATTGTCGTTAAAGCAGTAAAGCCTAGTACAATATGTATTCCTATTTATTAGGAAAGGTTGGCGGGGGAACACTTTTGTGCTTAGAGACAGAATGTCTACAATCATCATTTTACTTGACAAATGAAATCGGATTTAAACTCAAACTCTTTGCCGAGTTGAAACTGATGCATAGATGCCCCTCCTGAAGGTTTTTAGAGGCTGTAAATTACATGGCAGGAGGTTGCCCATGTTTCTCTTGTAGTGCATCTGATGACTTCCAAACAGCCTGCCTTTGAGTTGACAGTGCAGCTTACCACTTGGCAATAGTCTTGATTTTTGACTAGTTAATATTGACCTTGAGATCATCATAATTGTTATATTTATTTTATTAAGAAAAAGAGTGAGAATTATTATTGTTTAAATGGAAGAATATACTTTTTATTTTTGTGCTCTTGAGGTTAAGGAAATCTTTTTTGGTAGCATTCAGATTGCCTTTGTAGAATCTACTTCTCATTGGTGTGGTCATCTTTACTAAGCACTACCTGTTATCGTTGTGTGCCATGGATTTGGAAACCTTCAGCAGGTTTTCAGAGGCAACACATCACACAGGAGGAATTGCCCATCCTTCAGTGTTTTACGTGTGGTATCAAATACACTGTCCTAATTTTGCTGGATGAACATATCTATGTATCTTGATAGTTTGTTTTTAATATATTTTAGTTGCTGAAAGAAAAGAATAGCTTATCCTTAAAGTTTTCTTTAGGATCTTCATTATATCCTCTTTGAATATTTATGCTTCTTGTTAAACTGTTTATAATTCTGAAGCCTTTGGAAGAAATAACTTTAAAAAATAACATATATTTCTTCATTTCTCTTTTTAGGAACACTGTATAGATGTTTTACTAATATGGTCCAAAAAATTAGAATTCTGATGAGCAGAATATCATGCAAAATTATCCTCCATAAGCTATCAATATCATGTAAAAGATAGGTTTAACCATTTTTATAAAGCAGGAAAGCTATTAAAAACTGCTAATAAAAAATAGGTGCTTATTTTTGTGCTAATACTAATTACTGATAATACATTCTTATGTTTGTCACTCATTATATGGCACTGTACCAATCAGTGGATGACTGAGACTCAAGCACTTACACATGTAAATTAACCATTAGCGTCCCCCCCCCCTTTTTTTTACTTAAGTGAGTCATAATGGAAAGCAACTCTAGGTCATAAAAAAATCTTTTCTCTTTAATGCTAATGAAATGTCTCCACTCTGTGTTAGCAGACTCCCCTTACTAGTAATCTGTAGCTTTCTCTTTTGTTCCTGGTGGTAATGAAATGCTGGGTTCTGAAAAAACCCTTGCTTCAAGAATGTGTGGCCAATTGTCTTCTGTTCACTTATACTGTAAAATCACTGTTCCCCAGCAAAGCTGAACAAGTGCACGGACAAGATCAAAAGAGTGTACATTGGAACCCAGCTACATCAAGTGACTCTTGCTTTATTAATAAGCTCCTCCAAGTTCATTTCCTCCAATAGGGCAAAAACAGTCTGTAATACAAAAACAACAAATTATAACTCAACTATAAGCCTATGTTGTTTGCTTTTTCTACTTTCAGTTTAGACTTTTGCCCCAAAGTAATTAAATGTCCTCTTACATTTCTGAACTGTAGGGCACAAAAGCTATTTAAATGTTTTCTGTTGTTATTTTGTTTTGTTTTAAAATGAGTATTATAGTCAAATGAACACTTTTATTTCCTGAAATTGGGTAGCTTCTGACTGACATCATACTTTGTAAATGTCAGTAGTCGGAGTCTAGTTTTAAAATGCTCTTGATTCTAACATTTGCAGGCTTGCTCTGTCCTCTCATCAGAAATGCTACTGGTGTTTTGAACACTTCAAAAGGACCTTCTCTGTCTGTTTTTTGTGGAAGCAAATTTAACAGTGATACTAAGTTATAAATAATAACGGCTTTAACTTTCTTTTTCATTTTAATCACCACCTTGGAATTTCATGAAGTCTTTTTCAATTCAAGGAAACTTCAGTGTTTTTTAGTCCATTTAAAAGTTCTAGCCCAAGACAGAAAAAAAAACCACACAAAACTGTTCATTCCCACTTTGTACTTTTTTTTACTTTGCCTTGCCCAGGTAAGAAAGAAAGAAACTTTTGAGTAGGATGCCAGCTATAACAAGAAAAGTTATTTAGTCTGTGTAACCAAGGAGATTGTTGTTTATTATCTTATTGTTTACTTGGTAAATTTTAGTATTTTTATCTAATTGAAATCATTCTAGTTTCTATGTCCTCTACTATAATTTAAGATAACAAGGATATGTTTTGTAATTATATAAATAGATTTTATTGAGATAGTTTGAAATGTGCTCTTGAAGAAACATATTTTTATATAGGATTATCTAAACTCCATGTAATTATAGACTTCAGAACAGTCACAATAATTAATATCAACCTTCAGTATGTATACATTTATTTTTGAAGTCACCCTCTTCTCCTTGTTTTCTTTATGAGTTTTAAAAATTTTTTTAAAGTAATTCTTGTGTTTTACTTTATGTGATTTTTAAAATAATTTTGAAAATATCAGTAGTTGTAGCTAGCACTGTAATGTAGATGGAATAGTTTTGTCTGCATTATGCATTTCTAGTTTTGCCAGAGCTTTTTATTAAAAATTTTTTTTTCTTAAACTGCTGTGCTCACCATTCTTTATAAGGATTTGGTTTCTTTCTGTCTCTTTCTCCTTTTTTTGGTAGATGGAATATTTGTGTTTGTGAAGGTTAGCAGAGGCTGGCTGTGCTGGAAGTGACTGCAGTGCCTTTTGATTATTCATGGACAGTAATAGAAGGCACTTAAAAAGAACAATGAAATTGCTTATTTTTGTGATGGGCCATCTGTTGAATTGTTTTGTGCAACAATTGCACAATAGTATCTATGACATATTATTCTATTTTCAACAGCAGCTGATTATGTCTCACTGGCTACTTGTCCTTATTTCTAAAGTCCCATGACCATTTCAAGTCACCTTTCTAGGACCTTTGCCAGAAAGGTATTAGAAATCTAAAATAGCCTATGTATTTTTCTTTCTCTCTCCCTCCCCCTTCTCTCTCACTCATTGTCTCCTTTTTTGGAGGATATAGGGTGGGAGGAAGAAGGGAGTTGGTCATGTTACTGCTAATTAATTTTATTTCCTAAATGTTTGGGGCAATTACTATGCTTTCCACCTGTAGTTCTATAATAGAAGTTAACATTGAGGCATTTGATAATTTGTGTAGAAACGATAGGCTCACAGAAAAGAAGAGTCAAGTTAAAAAGACTGCTGTACCGTCTTTCATGTTTTTAATTATCCACTCTTTTCTTCATGGTCATAATTAGGTGTTTTTCTCTCTTGGAATTCACATCCATCTTAAGGGGGCGGGGGAGAAAGATGAGCCATTAGCAAACTTGTTTGAGCAGAAGTGAAATTAAAATAAAACAAATGTGTTGTTGTCCATAGGTCACTGACATTGCTGATGCCATGATTCTCAAACAGCTTTTTGAAAATCTGTTCAAAAACGGGGTCGTCGTTGTGGCAACATCTAACAGGCCACCGGAAGGTAAAAACAAACATTGTGCTAGTCTTATCTAATTAGGGGGACACTAACAAGCTCCTAAAATCCATAGTCTTGTTAATAAATCTGATGATTTCACTTATCATTTGTTTTATAAATGACAATTGGAAAATCAATGGAAAGTTATATGAAAAAATATTTGTTTTTGACATCTAAATTCAGGTGCTTACCAATGGTTATAATGCTACTTTTTTCTCTCATTATTAGCTATTTTATATGGAAATATTAAAAAGTGT